TTTTTTTTTTTTTTTTTTTTTTTTTTTTGGTGGTACAGGGTCTCGCTATGTAACCCAGGCTGGCCTCAAAACTCCTGGTGATCCTCCTGCCTCAGGCTCCCGAGTGCTGAGGTTTCAGGTATGTGCCACCACACCCAGCTTGAAGAAATCTAATTTTTAAAGTTCTGTTTGAGTCAGACATGGAGGCACATGCCTAAGCACTCCGGAGGCTGAAGTAGGAGGATCACCAGGAGTCTGAGGCCAGTCTGGGACACAGTGACTTCAAGGCCAATCTGAACTGCATAGCAAGACCCTGTCTCAAAAAAACAGAGTTAGAGCAGGAAGTATCCATTCCCGGAGCAGACATCTGCTAGAAAGGGAAGTTCCCCGGGCTTCTAGTGTGGTTGTGTTTTAAGCAGACTGCAGGTCGGTCTGGGGATCCAGGGGGAATTGAAGGCTTTCACGTGAATTCCAGAATGGGAAGCAGTCTTTCTTTTGCACTTACAGCCCGTCAGTTCAGTACCTCCACATCTCCTTCCCTGTCTTCTACCCAGGGAATTTTTCAGCTGCTGTTACCTTAGGGAAGGTGGAACAATTTGATTTAAGAGAGGAAGACAGATGATATGGACATTGTTTGAACTACACTGAACTATCTCTGCCAGGAAACATGAATTGATGGCAGTGGTGCCAGTGAGAAAAGGAGCCAGGAGGAAGAATTTATGTTCTATACAATTTTCTACTGGTTAAAATATTTGAGCTACCACAAACAACTTGGGAAGCTGAGGCAGGAGGATTACAATTTTGAGGGCAACCTGTGCCACACAGTGAATTCCAGGCTGGCCTAAACTATACAGTGATACTCTGTCTCAAACATAATTAAGTAAATAGCAAGAAGAATTCATATTTAAAAAAATAAATTTTAATGGCTGCCATGGTACATGCCTGTAATCCCAGCTACCTGAATGACAGAGGCAGCAGGGTCCTGAGTTGGCCTGCCTGGGCAATTTAGGAGACTGTCTCAACAAAACAAAATAAAATGCTGGGGATGTAGCTAAATTGTAGTGTCACCAGCTTGCTGAAGTCCTTCCTTTTAGTAATGATAGAAATTAAAACTAAAGCACAAATTTACAAGAAAATAATTTTAGTTAGAGCCGAGCATGGGTGGTGCATGCCTATAATCTCAGCACTTGGGAGGCTGAGGCAGGAAGATCACCACAAGTTTGAGGCCTGGCTGGGGATACATATACATAGTGAGCTCAAGGCCAGCCTGAACTACACAGGGAGACCCTGCCTCAAAAAAATAAAAATAAAAAGTTCAGGCCCTGCTGAGGGTGAGGATCCACTGTGGCTTTGACCTGGTATAGTTATGGGAATGGGGCTTGGAATTTTAAGAAACTTGTGAAACTGTGGAAAGGGCATTTAATTTACAGATGAAAGGCTGCAGTCCTTTCAACAGGAGGAGATGACCCATTCATTGGTGACTCAGAAAAGGCCTTAGTACCTATGAAAAGGGACCTTATATTCACAGGTATTCATTTACAAGTCAAAGGGAGCAGCCAGGGTTCATTTACAGATAAAAAGGAGTCACCATGCTTATCGTGTAGTATTTAAAGAGTACTACTTTAGGAATGTTTGGAGGGGATTGTGTCCAAAAGCTGCAGTTTCTATTAAAATCATAATTTAAACATTCTGATTTTCCAGCCAGGTGTGCACACCTGTAACCCCAGCATTCAGGGAGGCTGAGGCAAGAAGATCGCAGCAAATTTGAGGCCAGCCTGGGCTACATAGTGAGTTCAAGTTCAGCCTGAACTATATAGTGAGACCCTGTCTCCAAACAACAAACCCACAATCCAAATGGGAAGAGGACTAACAGATGGAATGTCAGGAGAAGAGTGGGGAGGGGAAGAGGCCATAAAAAGAATTAAAATGTGTCTCATACAGGCTCCAACTCTCCAGGATTGAATTCTTTCATTAAGGGCACAAGACCAAGGAGGTTCAAAGGTCAGTTTCTCCCTAGGTCAGGACCTGGCCTCCAAGGGACACTCCCAGCTCTGTCACCTGAGTATCTAGGTTCCAGGCCTGAGCTACCATGCCCAGCTCCCTCTGTCCCTTCCCTGCCCCCTCCCTCTTTTGAGTGTGGCACTGGAAATTGAAAGGCCAGGGAGGTATCTCAGTGGTGCCACACCTGCCTGGCAAGTAAAAGGTCCTGAATAAGGAATTGAACCTACATCCCCCACCCTATTTTGTTGTTGTTGTTGTTGTTGTTTTTGAGTTTTGTTTTTTGAGACAGCGTCTCACTACATAGTTGAGACTGACTTGGAACTCACTATGTAGCCCAGACTGGCCTCGCACTCACAGTGATCCTCCTGCCTCAGCCTCCCGAGTGCGCCACCACGCCTGGTTGCTGTTTGTTTGTTTGTCTATTGATTTATTTTGAGACAAAGTCTCCCTATGTAGCCCAGGATGGCTTTGAGCTCACAGCAATTCTGCCTCAGCCTCCCAAGTGCTGGGATTACAGGTGTGCATCACCACTCCCCACTCCCCTGCCCTATTTAAGCACTGATCAGTGTGGAGAGATCTGAGCTAGCAGTAGGCTGTGGACCTCAAGAGTACCTAGCAACAGGGACTTTTTGGGCTCGGGATTCAGCCCAGTGGTTCTGCCGCCTGCCTCACAAGCACAAGGACCTGAGTTCGATTCCCAGTACCAACACCAACAAAAAACAAGGACTTCCTTCAGACAGCGATTCTGGCAGTGAAGAAAGCAAGTTGCTACAGAACAACTTGGGAAGAAGCAGAGACTGAGCGCTGGGATTCTCCTGAGTGGAGCAGCAGCAAGAACATGTTCCCAAGTGGGGAAGGGAGGTAGGCTAGTGTTCTGGGTTTAACAGAAAGTTTCACTAGTGGAAGAGAATGTTGGCTTGTCTCGGGGAAAAGGGAGCAGACAGAAAAGTTTAAGTCTTTAAAGTGGAACAGTGAGTCAGGACTGGTGGTGCATGTCTGGAATCCCAGCACTTGGGAGGCTGAGGCAGGAGGCTCACTGAGTTTGAGCCCGGCCTGGGTTAACATAGTGAGTTCAAGGTCAACCCGGACTGCGTAGCGAGACCCTGTCTCAAAACCCAACCCAAATAAATGGGAACAATGGGGCCAACTGAAGGAACATTCAGATGCTGATGCCTGTAACTGAGCCTTGCTGTTCTAGTTGTTCTAAACTGTCTTCTTATACTAGTTTTTGTTTTCTAAACTTGTTTCTCAAACCATTTGGGTTGCACAATAATTTTTAAGATGAATGGGGTAATGGGGCACTGGGGATTGAGCCCAGGACCTTAGGACTGAGCTACATCTCCAAGCCCATATTGTTTTTGGTTTTCATTTCGCTATATAGTTCAGCCTGCCTCCCAGAAGTTTTTCCGGGGTAAAGTTGGTGTGGAAGGTTGTGGGGGCTTCACACCACCATTTTGAGCCTGGTAACTAACAAGCCCTATCAGCTTATCCTCATTGTAGACTGGAGGAAACCGAGGCTCCGTATGAATCGGTGTCTAGCCTAGTTTGTTCTCGGCACGTGGGAAAGCGGCGACTGGAACCAAAATCTTCCAAACCCAGGCGCCCCAACCCGACTTGCACCACCAGCTCCTTACAGGAGGGCGAGGTCGCGGG